CTCGGGCCCGGGTGGTGTGATGGGTGGAACGCGGTTGTGGAGCTGAATTACCAGAAGAAGCCAGTGCTTGAGTAAATTAGAACAAATACTTACTTTCCCATTCAATTTCCCCATTATTGGGATGCTATGTGAAGCCAGTTTGAAGCCGGGATGCGATTCCCCAATACTGGGACGGTTTCTGAAGAGCATGTGAAGCCAATTTGAGGCCGGCTTCAACGGGGCTTCGAATGCTATTCCCCAATACTGGAACGGTTTTTGAAGCCGCGGGGACTCAGGGATATTTAAATTCTTCTAGAAGAGTATCCGTGACACGTCGTGCTGGGTCAGCAACTGGAAAGGTGATGCAGCCAGCAAATGAGCAACTGTCCCAGTACTGAGGACTTGTACTTGAAGCCCCGTTCAGCCGGCTTCAAACGGTATGCCGCATGGCTTCAAACGCCGCTGCATGTCTAACAAATCTGCTTCGCAAGAATCGGTGCGATTCGCAGAACTGTCCAAGTCAAACCCAGTTGCGGGCTCGCACCAGCAGGGAAGTGCTGACGAGAAACGTTCACAGCATGGCCGCAGCAAAGTTTGCAGTCTGTGCTGTAGAGACGAGAAAACAGTCCCACAAAAATACTCACAACACCCTGCATTCCTTCAACTGGGTAAACCCTTCTGAATACGTATAGCTATTGAAATCATTCAGAATTCACCTGACCGCACTCTCAACCGCGTAATCTGAGTAACTTAGAATTTAGAAATCATGGTGTTCCAAGTTCTTGAAAACTTCCTGCATTCGTACAGTCTTTAAATGCTGAAACTGTTTGATCTCTTTAGCTTGCCGAGATGTCTTAACCATTGTAAAAGACTTGGGGCAGTTCACGCTTTCGAAAACTCTGAGCGATTTTCAGGAAGTGAAAGCTCCTCAAAGATTTCAGGCGGATCCCAAGGAGCTGAAGAGTTTGATGGAATTTGCATACTCGAAATCAGCAGTTCCAATAATCCGAACAACATGAAGGGTCTGAGAAACTTGATTGTCAGAGACTCTAGTCAGAGAATTTGGGGCGGTCAGACAAAAGTGATGAACTAAAGGATGTGCGAAATTCTTGTCTCGTTACGTACTACAAAGAAGACAACCTCTCAAATGATGAGTGAGTGCAGTACCAGCGCCAGTCACAAAATTGATGACTCATGGCGCCACATTGCTGGCAAAGCAGCCGTTGCTCCGTTGATCTGTATCTGGCGCGAGCTTTCTTTGGCACATGTGTTTCTTGTCCGGGGTAATTATTCACAACACTTCGACAGAGTCGCGGTTTCATCGTACGAACAATTCACCACGCAAAAAGTGCTAAGCCTCTGCTCAGTTTTCGTGTGGTATTTAGAACTGTTCTTTGTTTTATGGGTGGCCCATGCGCAACAAACATGCACACTCGCACACATACATACGGGTGGTTGTCAAGAGTATGGCCCCTTTTTGGGTCCCTAAAAAAGTACGGCACCTAATGTTTAGGGTACCCAAAAAGGGACCATAATTTTGACAACCACCCACATATGTGTATATGTATATATATATATATATTAATTATTCTTCCATGTGCATAAATGCTGAAATTTCGTGTTGTTTCTTGTGTACGCATCTACATGAACGAAGTATTGCACACGTGGAAGCCAGGGCGTTGCAGGCACAAACGGGTGCTGTTGGAGGCATGCGTCTGTCTCATGTCGAGGTTCACTGCTGTGCCTCCATGAAGTCCAAAGACGATTGCGTGGAGCTGCACGGAGGTGCGGTGCCCATGCCGGGAAACCAGCTCATTGCAAAGTATGCCCGTTTGATACTGGAGATGCTGCGGTCGAGGAGTTTCGGATAGAGTCCATGATCTCGGCAGGTTGGCATGCTGTGCTGCTCAGCCAGACCTGCTTCAGGCGTCGCCAAGGCATCGGTTGCTGAAGTTCTCGTTGCAAGGAACAACCTGTGAGTTGACGCGTGTTATGTGTGCCCAGTGCCAAGCTGATGTACAGCTTCTCACTGCCAGCTGCTGACGAGGAAAAGGCTGAAACAGGACACTTGCCAGGAAGCACGGCTCTTACTGTCTCCTGGCGGGTACAGTAGATATAGTAGATACAGCTGCCATGTGAAGAAAGCTCGAGCCTGCGTACACGCCCATGCCTTGCATCAGACAGGCTGGGTGAACCTCAGCTGAACGGTCCTGCCTCTCTGAGGTGGCCGTTGGGTGGCTGGCGGTCATGTCCTGCAAGGCGAGCGCGTGCGTTTCCGCTCCTCCTGCGACGCTGGCAGGGCTTGCATGAGAGACGTTGAAACTGTCCGGTTTGCTGTGATTTACTCTGCAGGTGTGCTTTCAGAGTGTTTGGTTGCAGGGTGCATCCTCAAGAGAAGAGGTGTGCCAGCCTCGGAGCCATGGCCACTGTCGGTGCAAGCGAGCGAGGGAGTCATTGAGTCATTGCTGCAGGGAGGCAGCCGATGCGCTGCATGAGCTGGACCACGACCACTTGGTCTGACTCTCAGAGCAGGACATAGATCTCTTTCTGCGAGCGGTATTTGCCTTGAAGGTCGCTGTGCATGGGAAGGTCACTCGACGGCCAGTTGACGAAGGCTGGGCTGCGGCACATGCGAAGCTGCGCGATTCCCGAGCATCACCCTCAGAACAATGCGACATGTCGGCTTGAACGGTCTAGGGCAGCGCGCGAGTTGGCAGGTGCCCAACAAAGTCTTGCAGAGTTACATGCTTGCGATCATGACTTGGCAAATACATGGACATACTAGTTCAGTCCGACAGGTGGGACACCCTGGGAGTACAGTTTTCGAGTCTGAAATCTCGCATGGCAGATGCGACTGGCACGGCATGAGCATGCATGGGCGCTGCACAAGGCCGCCAAATCCTGAGAGCGCTTCTAGGTTGCCAGGGCCCGGCGCTTGCATCAGCAGCAGATAGTGGAGCGAGCATGTTTCCGAACATTCACCTGCATCAAGCATTAAATCTCACACAAACAACCCTGATTTTTCCTGAACAATCGAACCGTTATAGGTCCCTGTAGCAAGGTGCCGCAGCGTGAAGCATTGCAGGCCAAGTCTCCGGTCCTAAACTTTCTCTTCAACTAGAGTCTTTCAGCTCAAGAGCCTGGAGCTCTTTCAAGTCTGTGCACGATGATATCGTCTATGCTGCCAGTGGGGTCGCGTCATGCTCGCACGCTGCTAGGGTGGCCTCCGTCAGAGAATGCCCTCCTGAACACAGTCCGAATCGTGGCATGCCCTGCAAGCTCAGAGAACATATTGCTTGCTTTCATGAGGACATCTCTTCAGAAAATCCGTGGAATGCAGTGGCAGAGCCGAGCGAAACTGTTATCGCACCAAATTCAGCGCGTGTGAACAGTCGACTGCGTCGTTGGCCTAATTTCTATAACTTTTTCACAAACCAGATTCAATGCCGGTGAGCTAAAGCGGTCACCCATCGTTAACGTGTTAACGTTTGACCTTGTCGCGATCGAAACAATGGATGAGTTGTCGTTTTCCAAATCTAATGTTGTGCTTACATTTCAAGAGAAAGCAGCGTAGGCGAAGGTTGAATGGTGTTCCGTCTTTTGAATTTGTAGCACGAATTCATTGCACTAAGCAAGACAAACATTTCCAATCTTACTCGTATCTGCTTTTCTTTGATCCCAAATTTGGAGGAGATCCTGCATCCCGTATTCTATCAATATTTATTCGGGTTTTCGAAGTCCAGAAGCTTCCTGAGGTTTTTACTTGCAATAGCCTGTTGGACGGTTGGCCTTGCCCTCTGAGCATGAAGCAAAGAAGGGCGTGCCTCCTCTTCGTTTCATTACCCCATGTTTTTAGTAGTGATACATGGAACCAAGAATAATGTAGAACAGGCCAAGTTATAGAAAACCATGTAGTCATATGGTGGTCGTTCGGGCGGTTGAATGTTTCGTTCTGAATGAGCTAAGCACGCATTGCATGTCATCCTTCCTGCCCAAGAACCCAGAGAGTAAGAGCTACCGGAAGCGTCTAACAAGGCAACGTACCGGATGACCCGCCTGAGGTAGATCATTGACGGGGGGTGAGCAAAAGGAACTACAGTGCAGAAAATGGTAGAGTCCCGGTAGAGTTTAGGTTTTATTGGTCATGGATCTCAATCACGTCACATGAGCTGCCGTTTTGTTCTTGGGAAGATGTATGCATACTAAACGTGGAAATAATTCCACTTGGACATCCTGAAAGGGGCTTGAGACTGCGTGCGCGGAAGGATGCGGAAGGGTTTGCGAAGACTCAAAATCAAATGCACAGACACGCTAGGAAGCCTAAGCACTGTAGTTACTTCGACGCTCACAACCCCAAACCCGGTCAAGGCTTACTGAGTGGTTTGGAGCTCCGAAAAACCTTGCATGAACCCAAACCATAGCCTATAGGCTATCACTACTACTGCTGTTGTTGCTGCTACTGGTGCTACTACGGCTGCTGCAACGACTCGATCATATGCCGGCCCACGCGCACAGAAGGCATTTTGGTGCATGCATGTCTACGCATGTATGTATGCAGCTGTCTAGGGTCTGGGATCGAGCCAGCCGAGAGCGGCATTGCCCATTGACCCCAGTGGTCCTAGGAGGCCACGACGTGCCATAGCCCCCCTTGGCACCGACGTCAGCGCCTGCGACGCAGCAAGGCCAGACGGGTGATTCAATTCCCTCCGCTTCGAGCACTTCGTTTGCTCGCAGCACACCACACAGGTCCGAAGTACCGAGAGCTGGATCGTATGGGACGTGGCAGCAAGAAGTCATGGCATGGACAGGTTCCTGTGTTTACTCAGGGTTGTTTCGGCAGTTCATACCCGCGGCCCCGCTTGGGTTCAAGCATACACCACGCAACAGCAGCTAGCTTGCTAAAAACTTTCAGCTTTTGCTTTGCTTCATGCCAGCTTTATTGTTCCTGATCATATGCTTTGAGCTGTCAGGAGCACTTCTCAGCAGCTTTAGTTAAGCGTGCAAGAGCCTGATCCACTTGCATGGATTCCGCGCCTGAGCCCTACAGCCCTCAACTTCGTGCAGTCTTGCAAGATCTTAACAGGGAAGTGCGGCAATTCGACATCCGCTTGGTCGAAGCCAACCTGACAGACGACGTCAGGGCCCTCTGTGACAGGCTGTACGATTTGGAAGCCGAATCATCGGCCCAGCGGACGGAGATCGCCCGCTTGCACACTCGTCTGCATCGCTTAGAGGACGAACTAGGGCAAGGGCGTGGCTGGCTGATTCATCTTGCTGACAGGACCACAGCTTTGGAGGAAGCCACTCAGAAGCTTGCCATCAAGGTCAGGTCGCTCGTGACCCTGCTTCGAGAGACGCTTTCGGAGACGGTGGCACGACTTAGGATCTGGTTTTGACCATGGCCGCTTCGGAAGCTTTCGGTGGTGATGCGTCAGCTTTGCCTTCTAGCAGGGTGGCTACGGATATACTCTTGGCTGACTCCTCACCGTTTTGCTCTGCCGAGGAAGCTTTGGAACTTAGGGACTCTTTTCGCAACCACTTTGCTGATTTTGCGGATCCAACAGACACTAATCAAGCACCTCGTGATACAGCACCCACTTTGGAGGTTGCTGATTCAGATGCGGAGGAAGCTTTTGAACCCAGGAGTAAGCTTCGTCGCCGTTGGCGGCATCAAGCACATTGCGCCCCGGTGACTCCTCCCCTTCCCATGGAAAACTCCCCAGGTGCATCCAGTGGAGACCAGTCTTGGCAGCTTATAGAGCAAAACCAGCCGGAGGCCGAGATGCTCGCCTTTGGGGGGTTCACTTCGGGTACTTCGACTTTTCAGATTTTGCCGCTGCGATCCACCCCTCCTCGACCCAGCTTGTTGGCTACGTCGAGGGCACCCACTTGGCGGGCCCCGAGGGTGTGTCTGAGGTACAACTCCCCCTTTCAGGTGGGACACCAAGGACGTCAGCCCACAGTGGCTAGGCTCCGCCCGTGTGCTCCTTTTCCTCCCCCGCTTCAGGCCCCCAGCAATGTGCCTGTTCAGCAGTCTATACCCCAGTGCTTCCCGACGGCGAAGGCACTGCCGCACTTTCAGGACGTTTCAGCATACGCTGTGTATCCCGCACGGCAGCAGACTCCCGTTCAGGCCTCACTTTCCTTGGCTATACCGAGACCGGTCCAGCCCTCAACGACCTCTTTGAGCACATCGTCAGCATCACACCCGCCTGCTTTGCGTGCTCCGGCCGCCGGTATGCTCACCAGCAAGGACAACCACCAGGCATGCGACGATCGCAATAAGGTCCTTTTTGAACAGCTTTGCAGATCGCATGGGGCCTACAGCGAGGTGCTCCATCAGCTGGAAAGCAGTCGTGAGGGGGCTGTTATACGGTCCCGCTTGCTGAGCAAGGTCAGCGATACCACAGCAGCCCGCTACCTTCGTTCTGTGCAGCTTTTCTTTTGTGCCTTTGAGGAGCTTGGTGGAAACATGGACTCCATAGATCAAGGCTTCTTTCTTGATGCATTCTTCGCTTTGTCTCGAGGCTCGGAATCAGGTCCGCTTTCCAACAGCATCAACGTCCTCAAGGCCCTTCGTTGGTACAAGAAGCTTCTGGCTATTGTGTGCCTGCCAGACTTATACGGCACAGCTTTCAGCCTGCTTTCTAACCCAGCCGGACAGGAGAAGAGGGAGAGCGTACCTCTCCCCCTGGCGTTCGTCGCTTTTCTTGAGCGCACTCTTCTCTCTGGCAAGGCCAACTTGATGGACAGGATCTGGGCGGGATCCTTCTTGGTGGCTATCGGCGCCAGCCTCCGCTTTGCTGATGCACAACACGTTCGTTGGAGCACTCTGTGCATCAGCAACTTTACATTGCGAGGCATATGTTACAGGACAAAGACCACCAAGGGTGGCTGCCCTTGGGGCCTCCTCAGCTTTGGCCTGTTTTCTTCATCTGAGGACTGGGGCATGACCTGGCTTCCCCACTGGTTGGGAGCACTAGACGAAGTCTGGTGCGACATCCGCTCCCGCTTTGGGCCCCAGCCTGAACCAGACTGTTTGTTCTTCCTTTGGAGCGAGACTGGCTTTGCGCCGGCATCCTATTCGCAAGCCCTCCAGAAGCTTCGCTATATGCTTACACTTTCTGGGATTGCACCCGCTCAGGCCGCTCAGTACACACTTCACAGCCTCAAGACCACCTTTCTTTCCTGGATGAGTCAGTTGTCCATCCCGCTTGCCTCCCGCTTTTTGCAGGGGCACCACAAGGCGCCAGGGTCGGCTCAACTGTATTCTCGGGACGATGTGTGGCCAGCTTTACGTGCGCAGTGGCTGCTGTGGCGTTCCATACACGCAGGCTTTCGTCCGGCAAGACCACAGCACAGAGGCGGTCAGTCCCCACTCGTTGAACCACTTGTGGACACTGCAGGTTTCCAGTGGGAGGAATTCTGCCCGGCCCTTTCTTGCTTCTCGCTTGGCAACGATTGTCAGTCCTTCTTAGCCTTGGAGCAACAGGACGGCGACCTATGCGAAGCTCGGGAGTCCAGCTCAACGATTACGCGTTCCGGCGCCAAGCTTCCCTCTTGTGTTCATGCCCGGGCGCAGGTGGAACACTTCGAGGACTCCGATGCTGATGATGCAGGCCCGGCTCGTGCCTCTTCTGCCGCGACCCACGCCCCGGAGGTCGATCCCACATGGCAAGATGAGTCCCGCGAGGTGCTTAGCTTTTCACACGTTGAACAGCCGCTTGCGGACTCCCTCGCTCAGCGACCCCGCCCCAATTGCAAAGAGGTGCGGTACCTTTTGGGAGCATCTGGGGTGGCACACTCTTGCATTTCCCACCCCGGCTCCCGCATGACTTGCTTGTCTTGCAGAGACGCTTCATGTGAAGTACGATGCCACCCCGCTTGTGGATGCATCTCAGAATTTTCTCCCTTTGTTCATTTTCCGCCCGAATCCCGCTTATGTAAGCGGCGGGCCTGTATTATTGCCTCCCTGGATGCAGCTTGATACCAGCCTGCTCTGAAAAACACTGACGGCTTTGCAGTGTGTTCTGGAGTGCACCAGTGTTCGCTTGCTGACATCATGATTGCACTGCATTCAGCCTTTGTTTTTCTGTCTTTCAGCTCGAGATGCGCTTTAAGCCCACTTTCCTGCCTCCTTGGGTCATGGCGAAGCTTTCCCCTGAGTATGCCTTCACTCTCCTCAAGACCATGACCGACGAGGAGAAGACCCGCTTTCTGAAGCAGTTGGAAAGCCTCTGCTTCCATCCTCCACGACAAGCTCATCCTCGGCGGAGGCGCCCGCCGTGCAACCCGTTGCGGCACATGTGGAAGACCCCATCCAAAAGGTTATCGCCGCCGAGGATTACAGCTTACCTGCAATGGGCCCGACACCTTCAGCTTCCCCGCCGGCCGAAGCTCCACCTGCTTCGGTGTCAGATGCAACCCGAAGCAACTCAGGAAGGCAATGCTCCCCCTACGGGGGACCACTTCAGCTGGCACCGGAGGCGACGGCACCGCAGGTGGTGGAGGCGACGGGGTGGCCAATGCCAAACGATGGCAACGAGATCCCGAGGTGAAGGAACCGCCGCCAAGACCGCCCTCTTCACCAGCGGCGGCTGCTACAACCCCGCCGCCTACGGGACCTCCGCTTAAGGCCAAGAGTCTGGGCACATTTCCGAAGCCCGCTTCGGCATCGGTCGCCCCTGCTGCACCTCTGCCAAGGAGAAAGCTCCACCGCCTCCACTTGCAGAGACGGGGTCAACCGAGGGCACCGCAGGCACAACAGGCCAGCAGACGCCCGCTTCGGCCACAGCCACGGCTGCTCCGCAGGGCAGCAGGGCCCCACTTCTGGCGAGCGAGGCCCCGGCGAACCGCTTGGGGCACACCATCTACGACAGTGAGGGGGCAGCCCACGCTTCAATTAGTCCAGCTTTGGGCCTGCCGTAAACAGTGCTCCCAATGCTCGCTTGGACACTGTCAGGCGACCTTTAGCGATCGCTCCAATAGCTACCACACCACCCACTTATGCAGAGACTGCAAGCGGGCACGTGGTAGAGAGCGCCAGGAAGCCGCTTCACAATGGAGCCAAGGCTATGAAGAGTGGGGTCAGAACCAGTCCGGATGGGTTTCGGCTGTGGCATTGAATCGCCCACTTTTGGGCTCGCCCAACTTGATCAAGGGCAGCCCCGCTTGGGCTTGTGGGCAAGAAGCGCCCGGCTTCACCGAAGCCAGACATACTCGAGCTCCGCTTCCCGCTTGAAAAAGACGGCAAGCCCGCGTGCAGCCCTCTTGAGGTCCGTTCACGCTTTGAACTCTTCGGTGCGCTTATTCATTCTGTTTCCCGCTTGGATCCAGCAAGATTTCCGGCCCCCGCTCCGGGTAATCCTCGCTTCCACGCTACAGGCCACAGATGCCAACATGTCAACCTAGCGCACTTTTGTCTGCTGCAGGACCACTGGTGACAACGCTCCACCCTCAGCTTCAGTTCGTAGTCTCTTGTTGTAACCACAAGCACCATGCTCAGGTCGCGTGAAGATGGCAGACTTCACTCAGCTTGTGGCCGATTGCAACGTACCAGCAGCTGTAGCCTCTTTGCTTTCAGCATTCGACATTGCTTTGTTTGCTCGGTCCTGTACCACTGCGGCAGAGCTTGAAGAATTGGTGAACCACTTTCTGGCCGAAGCCTCAGTCACGGAAGCCGCTGAGCGCTTTATCACCAAAGCCTCTTTGCGGTTACTCTTCTGCAAGTGCCGAACGTCAGAGAGCATGGTATCTCTTGAAGCTGCGCCTATTTCCAGCGCACCGCTTGGTGAGGGCACATCAGCTGCAACCCCGGCTCCCACAGCCTCGCCACCTCTTTCTAGCTCCTGGCAAGAGGCGTGGCCCGCAAAATTGAGCGGGGAGCGCACGGCAGCGCTTAGGAAGCGGTTCGAGGAGGATTACCCCACCGAACTTCTTGATGCAGAGAGCTTTCCACGCGCCCGCTTATTGGCCCTCACCAATAAGATGCTTTTTGACAAGGAGGTGCGATGGATTCCTTGGAAATACCGCTTAAGTGCCCGCGCTCAAGAGGACAGTCTCCTCGTCCGGCCTAGGAAACAGGCCCGCTTTGACTTGACAGAGCTTTTTCTCGACGAGGCTCCCACCCGTGATATACATGAAGGCCCCGCTTCCTTTGGCCTCGTCACACAGCTTCTGTCACTAGCGGCCAATGCCATCGCGCTTTGCCAAGGGGCACATCTGGGCTCTCTGAAGCTTTACAATAAACGCTTCATGAGGATCTGCTTCACCAGGTACGAGGCCGCCGCCAGGTTACGAGGTCCTACCACCATGGAAGCCCAGGCCGCCGACCGCCGCTGTTGGGAAATCATCGCCGACTTAGTCAACGTGCACCATTGGAAGCTGGATGATGCGCTTCACGAAGTCGCCGAGGTGCGTTCTGATATGCACAGCCTGCTTGCCCCGAGGCCCTTCATTCCCAAGCCAAAGTTCGAACCGGACAATAGCTGGAAGGCCCGCTTCACAGGCAACGGTCGCGGCGGCAAGGGTGGCGGCCGTGGCGGCAAAGGCCGTGATGGCAAAGGTGAGAAAGGTGAACGCTTCGAGCGAGGTGGCAAAGGCGGCAAGGGCAAGGATAACAAGCAATCCACCCCTCCTGGAAAATGGCTTTCCACGCTTTTCATGGATGGCAAGCATCAGACGCTTTGCATGAGGTACCAGAGCGGACAATGCAAGGACGCGGCTACCTGCCGCTACCTGCACAGATGCGCAGTGCCCAAGAGTGATGGCACAGCTTGTGGGGGCAACCACCCTGCCTCGCAGCATTTGGCTACCCCGCATTAGGAAACCCACTTCAGCGAGCAGCGGGACATCGCTGAGGAGGTCACGGCTTAGTGTGCCGGCACAACCGTCAGGCTCTGCAGGGGCCACTTTGGCACTGCCCAAGGCACGTGCCCCGGTGTCCTGTGCAGCTTCTGCACTCAGTGAAGGCTCTCTCGACTTCGCTACCTGCTTGGAGCTTCTAGCGCAGTACTTTTCCTCTCCCTTCACTTCTTCTTCTCACTGCCCCGACAAGGCCATTGCAGCTTCTGAGGCGTATTTCAACTTGGGAGCTTTCGCTTTTGGCAATGGCGCAAGGTCGGGCATCTTTCAGCGCACAGAACAATTCAGACGTTCTTCGATTCTTGAACGCCTTTTTGCAGCTTCAGTTTCCCGAAGCTTCTTGGAGTTCGCTCTGCGTCAGCCACAACGTTCGCACTCGCTTACATACAGATTCTGGCAACGCTGCAGGGACACTGAATCACACAGTTTCACTCGGTAACTTCAGCGGTGGCGAGGTATGGATTTGCCCCGCTTTGAACCAGGCGGCCGCTCAAGTCCCGGCCCCTTGGATGCCTCATCCGGCACAGTGCAACAGAAGCCGGTAAAGGTGAGTTGCGGGACACTTGGCATGCGCCGCTCTCCTTCAGCTGTGAATCGCTTCACTGTACGATGCCGATACAAGGAGACAGGTGGGTATTGACTGCCTATACTTGCAAGAGCTTGGACCGCTTTGATGCAAAGTCACTTGCACACTTGAGGTCACTGGGCTTCCCACTGCCATCGCCAACCCCGGAGAATCCTCAGCCAATACCGCCCCCGCTCAAGGATACGACATGCGTGGAGCTCTTCCTGGATATATGCTGTGGGGCCGCACACCCACTTACTGCGGCAATGTCGTCATGTGGCATCACTTGTTTGCCTGTCGATTTGCTTGGCGAGGAGCAGCTTGACCTGCTCAACGACGATACTTACGACCACCTCCTTCGACTGTGCTTTTCGGGGATTGTCCGCTTGGCTCACGGCTCCCCACCTTGCAAAGAGTACTCCCGCTTGAAGCTTCGTCCAGGTGGCCCCCCGGCTATTCGATCTCCAGAGCATCTCAATGGCCTACCGGGGAACACCGCTTCGCAGCAAGCCAGGGTTGAGAGCAGCCAGAAGCTTTTATACCGCTGTGTTTGCCTTCTCCGAGCAGCCTTTTGTTCAGGTGCACATGTATCCCTGGAGCAGCCCACCAACGCCATGTCTTGGCTGGAACCTTTTGTTCAGGACATGCTCTCCGAGATACAGGCTTCACTGGTCAACATCCCGGCATGCTCAGTGGGCGAGGACATAGCTAAATCTTGGCTTTTCGCTTGCAGTTACAGCGAATTTCGCTTTCTAGCAGGCACATGCTCGCATGCAGGAGGTCATCAGTCCGTCGCAGGTGCCAGGGACGAACACGGTAACTTCTTGTCCCAAAGGACGGCAGAGTACCCGTCCCAGCTTGCCGAGAACTTCTCAGTGAAGGCAGTGAACTTATTTTCTTCGGGCAGACCCGCTTATTCAGTTGCGCCCTGCTCCTTGAAGTTTGCACTTGCCGCAATCCCCAAAAAGCCGCGCTCCTCAACGCCTACAGCCGCACAGGATGGCGGGGGCATCTACTCTCTACCCGACTGGTCCCTTGGCCCAAGGTACCAATCTGACTGCTTACACGACCTGCGGAGGGAATGGCAATCTTGGCTGCTTGGGAACAGAATTCCTCTTCGGCTTCAGCAACATATCGCAGAAGCCAGCAATAAACCTCTTTTCTCAGAGGAAGAAACAGAGTGGCTTCGCTCGTCTTTCAAGCGCTTTTCGGATTCACACTCCCCGTGCCAGGACTGGAATTTCTCGGTGAAGGAGGGCCAGCCGTATTGCTTGTCTGCACTGGAGCGCTTAAGTACCATGCTGGGTGACAAGGACACTTCCCTTTTCCCCGCTTTACAGAAAGGCGTCCCCACGGGGTTCGACGGCGACATCCCGCGCAGCCACACACTTCGGCCTCGTAACCCTGAAAACTCAGACGAACCCACTGACCTGCTTGTCTGTGAAGGCAACTGGCAGGGAGCTGAGGCAGACCCAGCATTGCTTCAGGAGTTGATTGAGGAGGAAGTTTCTGCCGGCTACATAGAGGAAGTTCCCAGCTTGGAGGCCGCCTACGAACGGTGGGGTCAAGAACGTGTTGCAGTGGGTCGTGTGAACATCGTCAAGGCTCCCGGTCGCGCTGCCCGCTTGGTTATAGACAACAGCATGTGCAGCACGAACCAGAACTGCCATGTGCCTGAACAGTTCTCCTTGCCCAGCCTTCAGGACATACAGGCCGCTTACCCTCCGAGGGAAGACGAGGAGCCGGTTTCGGGATTCAGCTTAGATGTGAAGGGGGCGCACAAAACATCGCTTGTGCGCGAACAAGACAGAGGCCTGCTTGGACTAAGACAACAAGAACGCCTCTTTTTCTAGCGTCTGTCCCTTCGGGGCAACCTTTTCGAGCCACTGGTTTGCCCGCTTAGGGGGCTTCTTCGTGCGGTGCCTACATCTATTCATCTGGTTGTCACACATTCTCATGCTGTACGTAGATGATCTGCTTCTTTGGCAAAACTCTCGTGCACTTCCGCTTAGCGCTTCACTGGTTCTGGCATTCTGCGCCTGCTTCAATATACCACTTAGTTGGCGGAAACTGCAGCTGGGTCCGTCCATTACCTGGATAGGTTGGCAGATTGACTTCCAGGCTGGCTGTTACACTTTACCGGAGCTTAAACGCCTGAAGCTGCTTGAACAGGTGGAGGAGTGTCTTCGGCATCGACTCGTCAGCCGTAAACAGCTTGACAAACTCCTTGGTCTGCTCCAGTGGATTCTCCATGGTCTTCCTGCTTTACGCCCTTGGCTATGCACACTGTACGATGACATGCATAGACCACTCGGTACCAATGTCAGCATCAGCCCATGCGCCTGGCCAGGTATCCATGCTTACCTGGACGACAAGCTCCGCTTCACAGGTAGCCCTCCGGGCACGAGCATCTCACCGGGCTCAACTCTGCTTTCAGAAACAGCTCGGCATAAGGCTCTTAAAAGTAAAGAAGACCTGGCTTTAGTTCCCGTAAGCACGAAGAGTCCAGCAGAGAAACACTTGCCTTCTTTGCCCACTTGAGCTCCAGGGACTGGCGGCCCAGGCCGCTTCGACCACCACCTACCAGTTCGGTGGAGTCGGCTGCAGACGCTTTCGGCAAGGGCAATGACTGCGGCGTGGGAGGTTGGCTCCTCCTCCCCAATGGACGCCTGCTTTGGTTCGCTCACCGCTACACTGTCAAAGACTTTCTGGACTTAGGTCTGCCAATGCAACCGGACGCCAACTTGGACATCTCCAGCTACGAGACACTTGCACAGTGCTTTGTACTTCTGGCTTTTTGGAAAGCCCATGGTTCCGGTCGCTTGGCTTTGACATTACCAGCTTTGAGCGATAACAGTGGTGCAGAGTCAGTGTGTAACAAGCTTTACACCTCTAAAGTACCGCTTAATCTTTTTGTTCGCAAACTTTCGATGTGGAGCTCGATCACCGGTGTCACTTTGGACTGCAGAACGACGACGCAGACCTGCTTTCTCGTTGGGATGGCTGCACAGACCTTCCAGACAAGTTCCTCGCGTCAAATCGCATCGAGCTTTCGCTTTCTGAGTTCTGGCTGATACGCTTTCAAGTGACACTTTTTCCCGCTGACACATTTTTAAAATGGCAGCTTCCGTCAGCCGACAGCTTGGGCCCAACAAACCGTGGTTCCAAGAAGCGCAAGTAGCCAAGCTTTTGCTTCCTCACCTCACTTTTCTGCTTGGCTTTCCACTACGTTGCGAGGTTTCGGCTTGCCAGTTTCTTGCTCGGGCTTTTCGACTGCTCCGCTGCTTCAGCTTTTGATCCGGCAGGTCGAAGACCCCGGATGCTCTGGACCTTCAGAGCAGCTTTCAACTTTCAGAGCAGTCGGACTTCCGGCAAGCCGAAAAAGGAGAGCCTTGTGAGCGAAGCCACTTTGTCCTTTGAGTTCCGCTTTGTAGCTTAGCTTACGCCTCGTAGCCTTTCGTGTTGCGTGGTGTAGAACTGTCCTGAACGGTTCCTGTGTTTACTCAGGGTTGTTTCGGCAGTTCATACCCGCGGCCCCGCTTGGGTTCAAGCATACACCACGCAACAGCAGCTAGCTTGCTAAAAACTTTCCCGCCCTCCCACACCTTTTGGGGCAGCTTTTCAGCACAGGGAGCTTTTCAGTCACAGCCCGCTAATACTTATCGAACTGCTTCCGCTCTTGCTTGCTGTTGTTTACGCTTTATCCTCCTTGCTGGTATGCTTAACGAAACGGGCTTTTCGACTGCTCCGCTGCTTCAGCTTTTGATCCGGCAGGTCGAAGACCCCGGATGCTCTGGACCTTCAGAGCAGCTTTCAACTTTCAGAGCAGTCGGACTTCCGGCAAGCCGAAAAAGGAGAGCCTTGTGAGCGAAGCCACTTTGTCCTTTGAGTTCCGCTTTGTAGCTTAGCTTACGCCTCGTAGCCTTTTGTGTTGCGTGGTGTAGAACTGTCCTGAACAGGCGATCAAGATGGCTGGCAGCCATCGCGGCCTGGTTCCTCATGGAAGCTGTGGGATGGGGCCTACTCGGCATCCCCCACGCCTGCCCAGAAGGATCCACTCAAACTCCGGTACGACCAAGTTGGCAACGACCAAGGTTGGTGGAATGTCAATACACCAGTGGCGGAGACGGACGAGGATGCGATAGGCGGCGAGCTTCCGGCTGTTTTTCGCGAGGTTCAGCGAGCTCTCACCCAGGCCAAGAAGGCGGACACCAAGGTCAAGCGCCTGAGACAGGAGGCCTCCCGCAGAAAGGCTCAGTTCGAGAAGTACGAGGGACTGATGAAGAAAGCCTTTGTGAAGCAAAGGCGCCAATTCGATATGGATTTGGCCCGCATCGAGGACGAGATCCAGAGCACCACTCTTGCGGGTCGACGGCGGCGTGACAGAGAAGCTCGAGGCCAAAAGGGCAGCTGCTGCTGCTGCTGCAGCGGAGTTTGGCCGGGCCCTTCGTCCATTTGGGCTTCCTACGGCCCCTACGGACAGCGATGCCGCGCCTTCGTCGGCGACCAACCAGTTCCACTTTTCGCTCAATGGCCAGCAGGTTCAGGTCCGTGTCACCGAATCGGAGGAAGAGAACTTAGAGGACTCCGAAGACGTCGACTTCCACGACCCTGGCCATCACCCGCCAGGAACATGATCTTTGCAGCCTTGGTAGCTTCACAGGAGCCATGTCTTTCCTTTTCTCGACAAGGCAAGCTGGGGGGTATGACTGCCTTTGTGGTCCGGATAGGGCCCTCTGTGCGGTCTCTTCCTCTCGGTTGGTGCTTTGTTGGGATGTGGTCAGACAGGGCGTCCTGGAGAGGCTACACCACTGCTGAGCGAAGGATGTACAAAGTAGGTTGTACAGCTCAAGGCTCATTTTGGTCACGTAGTAGTACCTTTGTTGAGATGAGAGCTCCCTGCACTGACCTCAGTCAGTCCAGTTTTGTGCCTTTTGCCGGATCCTGTTGGCTTGGAGATCCTTGGGTTTTGGATTTCTCCAAGCAACAGTTTCCTGTCTCCTCTGCCAATGTTCACTTTCACTTGTCTTGTGAAATGTGGACAGGGGCCCCGCCACAAGCGCTTACATGGACTTGCGCATTACTTCAGGACAGCAGTGTACCCGAGGTGCCTAAAAGACGGATCGGTGGCTCTGGGCCGTCTACCTCCACTACTGCTTTGCCTTTCCTCAGCGGAACCTTTGATGTGTACCACCAGTCAGGAGCCATCACGACTTTCTCCAATGCTCCTGCAGCCCTTTTTTCAAGTGAGAGCTACAGTGCGGCTTGCACAAGAGGTGAATCGGTTGCTCTGGGTCACCCACCTGCACTAGCTCTCTGTTGCAGCACCAGTGGCGCTGCCGCCTCAGTACACTTTCTGCGCAGCTCCACCAGTTCCACTCTCCTTTTGTGGCTTACTTCCTGCGTTTTGCCTGCTGCAAGAAGTTTCTGCCTCATCATTTTCCTGTCCGTCGTGCGCCTCTGGTTGAGACCATGGCGGGATCCAAGCACTCCTCTGGGACTCTGAGAGCTGCCCTCGGCGTTCCACTCGCCGGATGTCGGGAATCTTGGACTCTGTCCCTTTGTGTCTCAAGTCCAACTCATCCTGTTCTTGACTGGAGCCCCTGGGTTGATCGCAAAGGCAGGAAGCACCCTGACCAGACAAGAACCAGGTGCTTGCACAGCAGAGTAGGGGCCCTCCTTTGGGCTTTTCTTGCGCTTTGCACTGTGCCCACCCCTGCTGAGGCGGCCTTCCCTTCTTTGCATCAACGTGGCTCTTACCTGTTGGGGCCGGTGCCATGGCACGTCCGCCTGAAGCAGATGCCCCCGCACAGCCTAGGAGGCCACATGAGATCCCTCCCGAGGAACTGACCGCACACGTCGGCAGTGGCTACGTAGACCTGCATTGGGTAGAGTCTAACGACGACCCCTCTGACGATAGGCTGAGCCTCAGGGAGCCTCCTTGGGATGATGCTGGGCCGCCCATTGCGTCACCGGAAGCTTGGCTTGGCGTTTACGTGCATACACCGCACTATGGCACCGTTGCTTGTGCGGTCAAGTCCCGGCCAGACGGCGACTACCGCCGCGTTGCCGCGAACCTTGCCCAGCACTCGCCAGGTGTGCCCAAAGGTCACTTCAACAACATTGTTCCTTTGAGGCCACAACGTCATCCAGGGTATCTGTCCGTGATACGTGTGCCAAACTACACGCGTTACTTTGGAGCCCATGGATATGTGTCTGCTGTCTTCGACCTCACTCGGGTCGGCGGGAGATACTTTGCTGCTATGTTGCCGAGAAACATTGAAGTTGCCGGGGTCAAAGACTACGTCCTCCCCCTCACAAGTGAGCATGATGGTACGCTCTACCTCTTTGTTGGACATCATACCCGTCCTTCTCCTGAATATGCTACCATCTTGCTCCATGATGGAGACGTTGTGACAGCAGCATGGACCGCCACAGTGGACCCACCAATCACAGAGTTGAGACCCTCTTTGATGGCACGGCTACATGGGGATCCTTGCAGCACTTTCCAAGAGTGGAAGCACCGGAAGCAGTCTGCATCCTTTACAACGAGCAGAGATTCACCTGTCAAGGCTGGCACCATTATGGCCAGACAACAGTCGAGTTTGCATCCCAGCGCCTTGGGTTGCCCATAGGTGAGGCCGTTATGTGCAGCTTCCCAATCTTGAATCTTGATGTGCAAGGGGAGCGCTGCCCTTACATCATCGCTGCGCATAGCCTACACCCGTATAATGCCAGATTTCAGGACCGCCGTGGTAGCAGGGACATTTTTGTTTTGTGCGATCTGCGACCCCTTGGACAGAAGCCACAGTTCCTGTACACCAACTACCCGGCACTCCACGTCCCTTCGCTTGCTGCCAAGTTTGGGCTTGACTTTCCAGCTGCACTAAGGCTTGGGGTCTTTGGAGGGGAACGAAGGGGTGATGATGTACATTTTGAGCCGAACTCCACGCTAGTATTCTTTGCCGAGGAACACACCGTGAGCAGTTCTTCACACAGCTCTCCTGGCAGTGAGTCCGAAAAGGGTCCAGGTGCCAGCGTTCAGAGACCCGCAGGCCACTTGCCGGCCACACCAGTCCCCGACTCCTTCCCAAAGCTTCCAAGGGAGGACGTCCTGACAGCATGGAACACACGCCAGACTGTAGTTGCTGATTGGGGGTCTGATAGTGGTTTTCCTCATGTAGGTTCTTTCTACATGCCGGATGCTGCAGAGGGACTTACAGCCCCTCATCTTGACTCCACGCTTCCAGCCGGTCACAGTTGGAATGCAGGATTTGAGGCTGATGCGGCCGATGTGACACCTCCTAACCAACTGCTTGAGCCAGTTGAAACAGGGAATGCCACCAGTGGTGCCAGCAGTGAAGTTGGGCCAAACCCTTCTACTTCCCGCCATGATGGCGCGTGTGCAACCTTGCAGGCCGAGGCAGTTGATCAATCACCGCTGCCTGTCCTGACAACCACATACGCCCCTGAGTACATGCCAGAACTCACCATCCTCGGTCTACCCATCCCTTGCGGGGTTGCCAAGGCAATTGAGGAGGTGCAGGCCCAGGCAGTGCGTTTTCCCCGCCTCGTACCAGCCCAGCTACAGTTATCACAAGAAGCAGCTGTGTTCCTAGCTTTGCCCGACTGGCCTTATTGTGGCGTTGTCATCTTGATTGATAATAGAAGGGTTAGGGTTCCTGAGACACTCAACAGGGAGTCCCTACTGATAGCCGCTGGACACCCGCACGACTCAGTCATCAATGTATTCGTTTGTGGCCTCCTGAGCCCCTTAGATAGGCACCAAACAATTACATTGTTTAAGGGACAAACCGTCACTTTTGCTACCCAGTCCTTTGGAGCTGCACTTGGGTACAATCTCAGCGACATGCTGCAGGAAAGGGCCAACTGGTCGCTAGAAGCGCGTATCCCGGGGCCCCGTGCGTACCCAGGGAGCCACTTCTTTGTGCTTACCGACGGGCAGCCCTTGCTATTTCAGGTCCAGGATGGGCGGCGTGCCACTTTCAAAAAGGACCTTGCAAAGGCCCTGCGGGGTCATGTCGATGTTCTCACTGTGTTGCCAACCAGCCCACAAATCCAGAACAATTACAGTTTTGGTGCCCTCACTTCTGGGGTATTGATTGCCACTGAAACACTTTCCGTTGTCCCATGCCCTCCTGCTCGCCAGCCTGAGACCCGCCAGGTCTATGTTGTTGACGCCCGCCCAGTTCTTCAGGGATTCAACTGGGGACTTGCTGATGGTAGCACTGTCTTGGTCCAACATATCGTTGATGCATACCAGCATAATTGTCCCCAGGGATGGGTTGTTTCAGTGCGAGGTGCACCAGTACACAATGGCCCCAGTGGCCCTGTGTTTACTGTTGCCAGAGGTGGCGTGCTTGTAGTAGATTACGTTGAGGATCTGCTTGAAGGTGACAACCAAGATGACCCCACCACTGGCCCTGATTCCTGTATCACATTGATTTTGGACAGACAGGACTTGACCACTTTGCAGTGCAGCTTGACCTTGATGTGTCATTTCCCGCCTACCTTTCCATTGTTTCCTGCGAGCTCAGCACTCCTGGACGGGCTCTACAGCCCAGCCTTGGGCAGGATTTCCGCACCCCCCACGGCGGAAGCCGGTGGTTTTGAAGGCACTAACATCCTTGTGGCCGGGGACTCATCCTTGGCATTGTGTTGGATGCAAGGAAACGGTGTGTGAAGAAAACCACTATCTTCCCAATGATGCAGGACATAGTCCGAGCGAACCCAGAGTTCGGCGAAGTCACACGCATTATGGAGTGGGGCAAAGGTCTCGACAGGATCATCGATGTGATCGAGACCAACCTTGCATCCGCTCCCCCGGAGGGGGTAGAGCTTGTGGTTTCGTGGGCCGGCAACGACGTGTATGGTAACTACGGTTACCTTGGCTACACTTGGCATTTGACAAGCCAGTGGGTCAAAAGGCCGCAGCGCGAGCTGGACGAGATCGAGCATTGGCCCGCGAAACAGCGGCTGATGGTCGAGAAGAGCGTCCGCCGTCTCATCGAGCTGCGGAAGCACACTCGTGTCAGAGGCCTGACGGTTCTCTTGGGAGACGACAACGGTCGCCTTTACAACTTGCCCCCTGACTATGATGAAGAAATGGGAAAGTACGCCCGGCAGTTGGAGAGTGAAGGCGTGAGCGTTGTTGATCCATCAAGCCTCCTGATGAGGACCACGCGTCCCGATGGGTTCCACATCGAGGTCACCGACCCGAATGTGACTGCCTCTTTGCAGTGGTGGCATGCTCTCATCAGAGCTATCTCCACCGACCGAATCATCACTCGCCGGAAGGCAGAGTTTGCTGCCAATCAGAGAAGCGTTGTCTTTCGCAACCACTTCGAGCTTGGGAAGGCCGAGAAGACGCTCACGGTGCCGCCTGCAAGTCAGCGCATTCTTGAGCCGTTGGACCGTGCACCCGATCTCCCGGCGGAAGCCAGGGAAGAGGATGAGCAGATTGTTCTCGACCACCCTCTGCTGATGATGATGCCAGAGCCGGTCGACGATCATGATCTCAAGCCGGAAGGCCCTGAAGAGGTGACCCAGGTTGAACATGTACTGTTTAGCCGAGACATCGGCTCAGAGCTGCCCCTCGACCTTGTCGCCGTCGACC